AACCCCTCACTCAACATAGAGAATTTTGCAACACTATACTTACCCTCTGTACGTTTACGTTGCCCAGCGGATATCTCAGTCCGTTTGAAACATGGCAGCTTCCGGCGTCTGATGATAATGATGAAGGTACAGAGTACTGCCAGCCCTGCTATAAAAATACCCAGTAACACTTTACCTGTGATACTCCATGCTTTAGTTTCCTCTTCAGCGGTCTGGAAAGTGACATTGGCTGTTGAATACAAAAAGAATTGCAACATTACTGTTGTATATGCTTGCAACAAAATGTATGAAATACTCCTGAGACCAATTGTACTTTATGTCTCTGAAACATGGAGTAAAATTAAAAGAGAGGCAAAACCTTATTACACACTTTTGAGAACATAGTCTTGTGACTAATCTTTAGACCCATCAAAGAAACAAATGGCGGAGAATAGAAAGAGAATCAATAACATAAGGCATAATCTATTTAAATCATATAATACAGAAAGAATGGCAGACAACAGAGAGACAACATCGTATTTGCTGTTGTATTATTTTGTTCCATTCCACTATTAAGGGTCCATACAACCGATTCTGTTCCCAGCACATTTTAATTTTTGATTTCTTTTGTGGTGCGATGCACTTTTAGTGTGGACACCGCTATTACACGTCTGTGAAGCAAGTGAAGAGGTTCTCAGCTCAATCGCACGTACTCCATCGCGACAGCGAGAATTCTGGACCAACATTGTCATCTATGACCGGCCATCATCATCATCACGTAGCAGGTCCTTTACAGAACGTCGCTCTCATCACAGTCTGCCTGTAAGAAACTCGGTCTCTTGCCAGTTCTCCCGCCTCATGAACTTTCACACTCAAGGAGTCACCTATATCCTGTGCCGATCTTCGTGTCGGTCGGCCCCGCCCCCTCCTCCCTGGTACCATGCCTTCTGCTATAATTTTTTTCCAATCCGTTTTGGCGCTTGATATGACCAAAATATTTCAGCTTTCGAGAAAGGATGTCGTTTATTAGCCAATCTTCCTTAATGTTCAGATCTTTTAAGATGTCAATATTTCTCATCTTCTTTGTCCAATATATTCTGAGAATCTTTATATAGCATTTCAGCTCAAAAGCCCCTATTCTCTTTCTTAAGGACTGAGAGATAGTCCACGACTCACATCCGTATGTAGCCACAGGGAAGATGCATGTTCTCAAAATTATAATTTTTATCTCCTTGCTGGTGCTTAGCCATAGACTTTTAAGGCTGTTCAATCTTTGCATTGCTATGGCCATCCTCCTTTTAATTTCTGTCGAACAGTCTCCATTGTTGTTTATTATAGAGCCTAGACATTCAAAGTTTGTGACATTTTCAATTTCTTCATCATTTATTGTTATTTTTGGGTGACAGCCAGTTTTATCTGTGGACATATGACCGGCCACAGTGGTCATTATTATCGTTAAGGCCGTCATGATGTCGATCGGCTGTACACACATCGAAAACTTATTACAAGCACAGCGCATAATCACTACACCGGCCTCGACCAGATAGATATCTTGTAATGTACTACTACATTTCTGCTTTTAAACTGACTATAATATGGTCCAAGTAAAATACTCCCCTTAAAAAAGCGAAGTCATGGCTCATAAGCAAATACTCAACAAACGCCGTCAAATTGAAAAACGCTTTCCAGTTAGAGAATAAATTGCTTGATATTTATTACAGCCTTACTTTATTTCGAAGACGACATATCTGATTGCTTTATGGGAAGTTTTAAACTGTTTAAATGATTCTCTAACTGAAGGCTTTTCTGACAATTTTGAAAAGGGCATTAAAATAACGAAAACTCAATATTACTGACAGCATATAAGTCACTTGCGTGTATATGCAAGTCAAAGATAGAACTAGTAGTAGTAGTAGTAGTAGTAGTAGTAGTAGTAGTAGTAGTAGTAGTAGTAGTAGTGGTAGTAGTAGTAGTAGTAGTAGTAGTAGTAGTAGTAGTAGTAGTAGTAGTAGTAGTAGTAGTAGTAGTAGTAGTAGTAGTAGTAGTAGTAGTAGTAGTAGTAGTAGTAGTAGTAGTAGTAGCAGTCGAAGCAGTAGTAGTATTAGTAGTAGTTGTTGTTGTAGTAGTAGTAGTAGTAGTAGTAGTAGTAGTAGTAGTAGTAGTAGTAGTAGTAGTAATAGTAGTAGTAGTAGTAGTAGTAGTAGTAGTAGTAGTAGTAGTAGTAGTAGTAGTCGAAGCAGTAGTAGTAGTAGTAGTAGTAGTAGTAGTAGTAGTAGTAGTAGTAGTAGTAGTAGTAGTAGTAGTAGTAGTAGTAGTAGTAGTAGTAGTAGTAGTAGTAGCAGCAGCAGCAGCAGCAGCAGCAGTAGTAGTAGTAGTAGTAGTAGTAGTAGTAGTAGTAGTAGTAGTAGTAGTAGTAGTAGTAGTAGTAGTAGTAGTAGCAAAAATAATAATAAAGAAACGTCTATACACGATTAGAGTGAAGATATTTAGCCCCTATACACAATTTTACACACTTTTCTTGGACGAAAATGGGGGAGGGGCTCATCGTGTCTACACTACTAAATTTGGGTGTTCAAAATTACCATCCTATTGTAACGTTTATACATCACATAAGGCTGACGTTAATTTATTATGATACTGAGAGATGAGAGACACTAAACCCCACCAGGACAGAACAGCGAGCGATAAACACCTGGCGACACGAAGTGTCACCATTCGGATGATATCTCGAGGGCACAAGTCTCAGAAACCCCGTTACGTTATATTAGGGCTCTAAAAGACAGACGGGCGGGGCTTTAGAATAACAAAGATTTACAACTATACTGGGGGCGGCACAGACTATCCATTCCAATATATATATATATAAAGGGTTATTTTTTAATAGCAGGTAAATACTCTCGGCTACCTACTTTTGGAATACGATAAGATTCCTACAGCGTATATACAGGAATCCCAGAGCATAGTCACATTTGCCTGAAGCACCTCGTCACATCTTTGCTTTTTCTCTGTATCACTGAAATCGGTAGGAAAAAGTGGCTCGCAGTCTCTACTGGTGACGTTGCAGAATTCTTGTCCCCGCTGGCAATATTTTTCAGGAAATGGACACAATTCCTTTTCAGTAACTGGTAATGGGAATGAACCAAGAGGATGATATCCCTCATGATTCCCAGAGACTGAAAAAAGTGAAATGGCAATAGTTATAATTCACACTCCTTGAGTCTCAAAGACTTTTAAACGTATTCTTCTATCCCACTAAATGCAATACATACTTAGTCTGAAAGAGCTCAGCAGAAACAAAATATAGAAATCGTTAAAATTCGAATTCAGAAACAAAGGGGTACTTTGTGATTTCTTTGCGAGAAAGGTAACAAAAATAGAACATAATCTTACGAATTACCACGAAATATACTGTGATATGTATGGAACAGAAAAACAGAAATAAAAATAAGCCTCATGCGCAAAAGCTTCGGGTGTGTCAAAAATAGTAAAGTTGAATTAAAAATCCCTTTTAACACTTTTAAGGGTATATGGTAAGAGAAACCCGTATTTTTTACATACCAATCGGCACTAGGTGGGTAATGTGGTCAGCATTACGCCGGCGGGCTTTACTTCCTTAGGACATACATCCTGGTATCCAGGATGTGTCGAAAATAAGTAACCTTAAATCAATAGGGGAATTACTAACATTCTAGACGAAATCGTATCCAGTCTGCGTGACGGTGCCAAACTATGTCCTGGTATCAAAATTTCTTGAGGCCTCAGGGATGAGGTTTTACAGAAGAATCCTTAAAATTCCCTGGACAGTCAAGAGAAAAAAAAAAAGAGCGGGAAAGGGGGGGGGGGCGGGGTTCACATGCAAGATAAATTAAGTATACTTGATGCGAGGTCACAACAACTATGTTCAAAAATCCATAAGGAAAGGACAAGGATGATAAAAATAAACCAGGCAATTACTAATGTGGTTTCTCTTTATGGTATCCTACTTCAAGTTGCACAGTCAGACACGTCATTAGGCATTGGTGCAGATGAAGATGTAGTAACTGACAGAGATATTAAAATACGAACACAACTGGCAAGAGGAGCTTTCATAGCACCAGGAAATTTGTGGAGGTCAACGGAAATTAAAACTAGTACTAAATTTAAAATGTCTTCCTTCGATCCTTCAATGTACACCGCCTAACGAAGCAGCCATGTGCCTTTTTTTTGGGGGGGGGGGGGGAGCAACGCTCACTATATGAAGTCATACCCCCAGGAGGCTCCTTTGATCTATTTTCATTATAAAAAAAATCATACCCCGGTCGACCACCCATAAAACACACTTCAGATAACAAGCTAAAACGACACCAGACCCATTTGCAATAACACCCTTTCAACAACTCGAAAAGTCATTGCACCTTTTTGCTTTAATCTCACTCAACATTGCGAGACGACGCCATCTTTGAACTATCCATGGCCTATCCATATGAGACTGTGGCTGGTTCCTAGCTGTAGTTTTTTTTTTTTTTTTTTGTTACTCTCTGGCCCATAACGCCACTTCCGTACATAGTTATATACAACATTTAAGTGGATTCACCCCCCCCCCCCCCCAAGAGCACAGAGTTTCCTCCGAGCCACCCCTAATTTTCATGAAGCCTTCCCTTCTTTCTACGGAACCACCGTGGCTGGTTCCTAGTTGTAGTTTTTTGTTTTTTTAACTCTCTGGCCCATAAAGCCACTTCAGTACTTAGTTATATACAACATTTAAGTGGATCCCCCCCCCCCCTCCCCCAGAGCACAGAGTTTCCTCCGAGTCACCCCTAATTGCCGTGAAGCTTTCCCTACTTTCTATGGAACCACCGTCGCCTCCCCTGAAGCCAACACCCCCCCCCCCCCCCCCCCCCCCCCCCTATTTCCATTTCCCCCCCCCCATCCCCCCCACCCCCCCCCCCCCACCCACCCCCCCCCCCCCCCCCCCCCTTTTTAACCCACCTCCCCCTAACCCCTATTCCCCTCCCCTAGGGAAGTAAGAAGAAGACTTAAATGTAAAATAAAAATAACACGACAAAAACAAACTGTACCTCTGCGGCGTTCCATGTCTCCCAACAAATAGATACAGGTATCCTGGACGCCTGTCTTAGACTCATTCTTCTTCAGAATGTCCTTACATGTCCCCAGCTTGTCTTCTTCGCTTGCATTTTCTTCAAAAAGCTGTACGCAGGTATGTTTTACTACACTACAATACTCGTGTCCCCTCAGGCAAAGGGAACCATCATAGACGCATACCTGTTGTCCTGGGGTACTGTTTTTATACACCATTTGCAAATCTTCCAGTGACATCCCTTCTGCCATTACATCTGAAATTTGTTTCATTTACATGTCAAGAAAAAGAGTGCATACTTTATACGGGCATGCAACGAAACGCTAATTCTGATCAACAACAACAACAACAACAACAACAACAACAACAACAAATAAAATTTCACAGACTGAACATTCCAATGCATCCGATGCCATCTCCACAATGAAGGTTAGTGGAAGTGGATCTCACAAACTCTTTGGATCTATGGTTGTACAATCTCTTGATATTTTCATATCAATTATATTGCTGCGATTTGAAATTACCAAAGTTATTCTTATAAAAAAAATTATTAAAATATGCCTTAAGTGCTAGAGCTTCTTAAAAATATAGATAATTGAAAGATATTGTTGTTTAAATTTTATTAAAGGAAACATGAAAATGAAAAACACGTTTCCTTTTGCAAAATCACGGAAACTGCACTATCCGCTAAAAAGTTGTAAGTTACATATATTAAAAGACAACTGCATTTATTATTAAAATAAAACTGCATTTGTGAATAAAAAAAAAAATGTGTGTGTGTGTGTGTGTGTGTGGTTTGGGAGGGGAAAGGGTGCTCCTGCAGAATATAAAGCCTTAGGCTAGCGGTTCTCAACCTGCCGGTCGCGCCCCTTTTTTGTGTTGAACGACTCTTTCCCAAGGGTCGCCTTAGGCCACCGGAAAACACATATTCATTGAAGTTATGAAGGAAAATATTTGTTTGGGGGTCTCCACAACACAAGGGAACTGTATTAAAGGGTCGCGGCATTAGGAAGGTTGAGAGCCACTGACAGGCTGTAGCTTTATTTAGTTTGTACCTAAATCTGGCACTACGTGTGGCCTTCTGTCTCCAGTACTGTCAATCATTTGTGATTCAAATGTTCTTCAATGTTAAAGTTAAACTAAAAGTCAATAACCCTTTTCCACACCTTCAAGAGTATTGGGCATATAGGGCTAGACCAGTACTTGTATAGATGGGCACTCGGTGGGTGATGTGGTCAACATCACGCCGTTCGCCTTTTCTTCCCAGGTATTTACCTGGTACCTGTTTAAGTGTGGGTCGATCTGGGAGCCATGGTCATTTTTGATGTCCGGCTCCACCAGGACCTGAACCCCCGACTTTCCGATCCGCAGGCGAACGTCTACCCGCAACACCACGGCTCCAAAAGTAAAAGTAAAGGACCCTTTTCACGCCAGTGACACATTGGGCAAACGATGCAAGACTTACATGTGTATGTTATTCCCTGCCTCAGTGCCTGACTGTTGTGTAAGTTTATTTGTGTAGTCATTATTATACAAGACAACCTTACACAATGGACGGAGCATCATTGAAAGTAGCCTGACAGATACTCAGGCTGTTATATGAAGTGACAGACATTTTACATTACAGGCGCTGAAACAAAGAAAACATGATGTATGTTCTCAAGCCCATTTATAATTTCATGGGTCTGGGGCCTCAAACGGCTTAAGCCTTGTTTAAGTGGGTACAAGTTATTATTACTAGGGTCAGCCTCCTAAAATGTATTGAGGAGAGGCTCACCAACCAACATTTGACCCGGGGAGGTGCTAGGAGGGAGGATGCTCAAGTGACCAGAGACTCAGAGTCTAAAAGACAGCGTCATTACAAAATGGTTTAGAGTGGTCAATGCGTTTCCTTGCCAGTTTTCCTTTCTAAAACAATTGCCGGGACGTTTGGAAGCTACTCCAGTAGGACATATCTTAGGCTCAGTCAATCCTCAGAGCTGTACTGTTCGAGAAAGAAGAACTCTGCCGCTATTTATTATTTAACTCATGCCCCTGTTTTGACAAGGAAGTGACTAACGCTTCTACAATTCCAATTACCAGAACAGATTCGACTAAAATAGGATGTGAAGTTAACATTGTAACAAAGAATTTAACATAACAACAGAGAAATTAACACAATAACAGAATTTAATATAATACCAGAAAAGTTAAAAACTAATAGGACAAAGTGGGCTAATATATCATTTGGCTGGATCAAATAGCATCACATGACATTACAATGGTCTCGTTTGGCTTCTTCGGCCTTCTTTTTTCCCGATTACACACAAAGGTAAATAATAATTACTGTTGACTTACCTTTCAAACAAAGTGTCATAAAGATGGAAAGAAACGAAAGTGTAAATTTGCTAATAGTCATTGCTGTTTAGTTATTGCTGTTATTGCTTTAAACTAGTAAAGTTGAAGTTAATGGCTTAGCTGAAACGTAGAGAGCATGTCACAACCAACACTAAACTGAAACGCAAAGACACGTCTGGGAAATCCCTAAATTTAAACTGAAAGTATTTGTATATTCTTCAATATACGTTAGTGTTTCACGGCGTTTATAAGAAGTTTGGGAAACGGGAATTCCAAAAATGACCAGGACAATTGTCTCCTTTGAGGGCCAATATATTTGAGCTCACACTTATACACCTGGACTCAAATCCCTAGTGAGATGATGGCTTTAACAAAAATAATCTGTAGGGGACTAAACAAACAAACCAAAAAATTCTTCTAGACATCACTAGCAATGCGACCTAAATTCATCAGGCTCTAGACTACCCCAGGCCCACCGTCCTACACTGTCATCAAAATGGGGTGAAGACCCGTTTAATGTTAGTTGCGTATTCTTTACAGGACGTTGCAGGACCAACCCCAGCAACCTCAGGCTGTTGTGTGGTTTCTTTAGGCAAATTTACGTCCAGTTGTTTGCTATTGCCTACTGGACGGTCGGCCCCTTGATACCACTGTCGAAACCAACGCATGGCCTGCAGCTGGGATCGAACCCGGCACCCTGGCATTACGAAGCGTTAGCATCGACTTAGCCACAGAGAAGACCCACACACACATCTAATC